AATTCAGTTTATTTCTATCACGTTAGTTTTTATACAATTTATATTTACATGGATAAGAATATTTAAATTAAAATAATAAATGTTATTTTTTATATTTGAAATATTTTTAAYTGTTAAAAAAAAGCTATTTATGTAGGTATGTTGTTTTCAGTTTTATTTTTTGTAGGTTCGTAAAAACTAAATTTATTTGATTTTCTTTTATAGTTTAGTTTTTCGGTTTCACTTAAACACCAGTAGTAATCGGCCATCATTCCATTGATGTTTATATCGTTTTTCCACCTCCTTGATTTCCTGATGAAAACGTTCACCTTGTTCTTCACTTAATGATTCCAATTTTTTCGAAAAATACTTAAATACCTTTATTATTATAACGTATGATAAGTTATATAGTTTAATATCTTAGATAGACAGAAATAATAATATTGTTAATTAATATATCTTCATAACTCTTCAATGTATAATCGTATCTTAAATTTATTTTTTTAAATATTTGATGTAAATATTATAGTTATATTAAATAATATTAATAATTATTATTGTTATTATAAAAATTAAAAATCATATGGTGTTATACTTTTTTAATAGACAGTTATTAATTGTAGATATAAATTATTTTTAAGAGGACGTCATACCTGCATATATATTGTCTCGTTTTACTAACCCATAACTTACAAAAATATACGTACGGCAGTTCTTATTTTTGTTACTACTTTGATTAGTAGTAAAATAATGTGAATTGATCTATTAAAAACTTGAAGMTACGAAACCTGTCTGTATTATTATTTTATCTGCGTTTTTACAATATTATAATTTTTAAGAAAGTTATACGTATTTAAACAATTTTTAAAAATTCACATAAATTCTTTAAAAACTAAAATATCGTATACCTTGCAAGAGGATACGATTTATTTTTATCATAATAAGTCACTCTTGTATTAYAGCTAACAAATCAAAATTAGAATCGTCGAATGCAAACTTGTCATTTACTACTTATGTTGTCCATTTGTAAGATTGAGACAACATAATATGCTTTTAAAATTATGTACATATTACGATTGTAGGTAACCAAACTATCTTGTAAAATACGATACAATGTATCTAAATTTAAGTTTTAAACATGTAGGTATGCGAGTGTGTTCTATACGGATTGAAAATAATAAATATTTGATTTTAAAATACCTATAGTTGTACTATATAATAATATTTGATTTGTTAACACCTAATAATGTATTATTTTACACAAATGATCAAAATATCGTGCATATATACTACATAATGTTAATTGTTACCTAGTACAATATGTACTGGGTATATATATGCCCTATCTCAACTTCAAATTATTTATTTCTATTCAACGGCTTATATTCGAATTATATGAAAGATTACTTAAAAGTATGCAAAATGTTTTGTGTTATACTGTATGTTATTTTGGCTAAGATGCAAATAGTAGCTAAATTTAGTTATACCTCTATAATAAGGTCGTTGGAATATACTACTACCACTGTATTACAACTATTAAAAAAAAAACATTAGTATTATTGGTGGCAATTTTCCATTAATTCAAATGAAATTTGATAATTTTATTAGATCTATTCTGACAGAATTGCATTAATTGTTTTAGACATTTAGTTGTATTTAATTTTCAAAGGCATTTTAACAGATCTACTGTAAATATTATTCATAATTAGTAAAGAGAATACATAATACGTGATACACACCTAACATGTTATGAACAGCGAATACTATTTATTATTAACGTGTACCTAATGTATTTATCGTACACTTAAAAAAATCAAAATTACTTTTACAGTACAGTAGAAATCTATAAATGTATCATTAAAATATAATTTTACTAGGTATGTGGTACTCAGTACTAACCAATATTTAAAATATTTTTTAAACATAACAGTAAAATAAATGATGGGGTAAGGCGTAACGTTTTAATAATTAATAATCAAAAAAAATCCCGTACAATTTTTGATCTATTATTTTATTTTATTCTAAGTAAACGTGCTAGTGATTTTTGAGAATTTTAAAATTATTTTATATTTATTATTTTATTAACATTTTGTTTTGCTTGTCTTAAAAAATGTCGAAATTTTCTTCTTGGCACGATCGACAATAAGTACGTAATAACTAATACATATAAAACATATTATTAGTAAACATTCAGTGAGTGGCTCATACACTTAAAATCTACAAAAGTAGTAAAAAGGAGTAATAAGAATATGTGTCATTGGAGGGTTGACCCTAATGGCTGTGGTGGGGTTGGACTGATTTAAATCACTATGGTAACCATAACGCCTCCCCTACAAATGCCAACCTTAACGMCGGGGATCTGACTATATAATGKATGTGATATTGTCTGAATAAAAATTGTTATCTAAATTTTGTCATTTGTTTATGTCCACCGTATCAGGTAATATAGAAATAAAAATTTAAAATATACAGTATATAGTTACTTTTTCTTTAGTTCAATCGTCAGCAAAAACTTCATTCTTCAAAAGTATCCTTTTTTTGTATCTGCATGTCGCTATGTAGGTGTTCTATATTCTATATATTTTTTTATCCATAGT